AATTGTAAGGGGCCAATCTTCCATCATCCATATCAAGTTAAACAAAACATATAGTACGATATTATAAAACAAATCATACAAAATATAATAGCTTAAGAGAAATCAAATTCACAAAAATTATTATTTTTTACGAATATCTTCAGGTATGAATATGCATGCTCTTAGAACTAAATGATTTGGATATAATCAGTCCGCCAATAAGACACCAGATATAATTCATCTCATATCAATGGAGAAAAGAACCTGCCACTAAGACAACCCGCCACAAAGGCAAACAATACATATGCCATAAAATGATGATGCAAATGCAATTCCAACCACTTAGGTAAATCCTACCACTTAGGAAATCCACCACAAAGGCAATCATACAGTCCAAATAACAACATATCATCATGCACGCGACTAAAATCACAACTTCTTAATAATCAATCTCACCACTTAGACAGACACGTCTCAAGCCATATACAACCATATACATACGTTTACAACGTACAATCACATCAATACAATTCATCTTATTCACATCATGACCACACATAATAATAACAAATCACAAACAACACAATGTTTTATCTCCATCACATCAACACGTTCAATAGACAATATATAAAACCCTTTAGTTGTTATTTTAGCTTATCAAATAACTATATTTCAATTCACTTTTCTCTTTATAACAAGTATGCATTATATCATTTTACTATATAATACCTAACTATCGGTTTCACTATAATCAACATGGGGAAGTGCCCTTACCTTAGACATTTTACTTCCCAACCACATTTAAAGATCATCCCGAGTAAAATCATATCTTTATCATACTTACACCTATTCATTCGAGTCCATGTGCAAAATTTTCACTTTCTTGACTGCTCATCCTCTCATCGTTTCGTTTTCGGTCATTTATGAAGAAATATTTAGAAATACGATATTAAAATACATTAAAAATACCAATTCTGAAATAAAGTAAATGAAAATTACCTTAAAACAAAATTCAAACTTGATAAAATTATCACTTACGTTCACCCGACCGTTTTAACGTTCGTTTCGCACAAATCAAAATTACGATGATGATGTTACGAACAAAATACCGACACTAATCAAATTGAAAAAATAATAATTTAAACGAGGTAAAAGAAGGTCTGAAAAAAATAAAATGAATAAAAATATTTAATATAATAAATAATCCATAGAAATAACATAATAAATTTAAGACGAAACAAAGAAATTTGTGCACAGGTGATTTGATGCCGGAATTAAGTTTTCTTCTCTCTAAGACAGTTATTGTGAAGGATTTGCTAAGTCTATGTACCGTAGTTTTTTCCTTGTTAATTGAATAACGAGTTTAACCCATTATTTAGTAACTCATTCTTTTATTTCTAACATTTTGTCAAATTAAAATATATAAATATTCACTTAATTATTTTACTCACTTATAATTTAAATATTAATTATTAAAATATTTGTATTAAAATATTATTATATTTATAAAATTATTAAAATTTATTAAATTATTAAAATAACAAGTATACTGATCATTTTTACTCTTAATTATTAAAAATTTAAATAGTTTTTTAGTTTTCGTTAGTTAGCGGAGACACGTAGTTAAAAGCAATAATATCTTATCATCAAGTCTGTTATTTGTTACATATATATAATGTATTGTATTTAATGAATGTTAACTTCAATTTTTAATTATTTAGTTTATATATTAAATATTAAATAATGAATATTAACTATTTAATTTATTTAAATAGTTATTTAATTAAATATTTCATTTATTTAAATAGTTTATCTTATTTTAATTCTTTATGATTTTTTAAATTTTTTTTTTTTTTTAAATTATACGGTATTATACTTATTTTTTTAAAATTATATTTAATTTATCTTATTTTAATTGTTTATACTTATTTGAGTTTTGATATTAATTTTAGTTTTTGATATTAAAAATGATAATATTTAATAGTTGACTGAAATATTTATTAAAATAATTATTTAATGAACTAAATAATTATAATTTTAATAGTTGAAATAATAAATAGTTAAAATATAAATAGTTAAAATATTAATCGTTAAAATATAATTTATATATTAAATAGGTTAAAAATATTTCAACTATTTATTAAATATTTTAACTATTTAATAGCTTAACCACTTAATATTTCAATTATTATGTATTAAATAATTATTTTATAATATATAATTCAAACTATTAAATTATTATATTAACTATTAAATATTTCAATTATTAATAATAAAATAATATAATTAAAAAATAATTAAAATATTTCATACTATTTAATATATAAATTACTGCATTTATCACTGTATATTATTATTGATTAGAACAAAACAAAAATTAACATCAAAACTAAAAACAAAATAAAATCTATTTCAAAAAAGTTATCTTATTATGTGATATATATAAATGAATTGGTAGTATATAACAAGTAATTCAAGTGTCTTGGTGGAAAGGCTTATGGGTTCAAAGATTAATGTCTCTTGTTTGAAATTGATTGGAACCATCTTTTAAAATGTTTATATTTGACCTAGACTTAAAAAAAATTCACACTAAGAGACGAAAATATTATTTAATCTATTATTAAATATAACAAATATATTTATAAAATAATCGATAAAAATAAATAATTAAAACATATCTATATACCATCTAAAATTAAAACATATTATTTTGTAACAAAATCTTACATCCATTTAAACTTGAATTTTTAATTCGTATGAGCCTACTATCACTACTATCCGGCTCAAGAACACCATTATCCTCAAGGGTGGGTTTAAGAAAAGGTTGGGTAGTTGAAAAACGGAAGCCCATTTGAGAGGCCCATTTGAAGAGGGTCCGGTGGAAACACCAAAATTGTTGGAGCTATCTGGCAGAATGGGAAGACGTGTAGAAGCTACAAAGTTGGGAAGTGCATGCGTGCCAGCTGGAAACAATAAAGGGTCACTTTGGGACTGTGCAAAGGGAGGCGTGTTCTGTTGGGAAACAGGCTAGACATGGGGACGCATGCCATCACGTGGAGAGAAGGCTTCAACGGGCAGAATATCACACGACTGAGATTCTGGGTCAGGGAATTCAATGAATCTAACGGTCTAGCTTGCAAGGGTGTTTGAACGTTGGAAATCACCGAGTTATTAAAAGTGGTACTTGTTCCCAAAGCATAAGTGTTAATCTTATTAGATTGAGACTTATACTCTTCCCTCTCATAATTTTTCCATAAGGCACTAATGAAAAGCGGATCACAATTCGAAACTATGGATAATGGAATCTCATGTAATCGGCAGATCTCAAAAGAGAAACCAAGCGCCAGATCCTTAGGAGAGAATTTTGTAGGGAACTATGAAGTGAGAAAACTTTGTCATCATGTGAAAGACTACCCCCAATAATTTTGTGACCAAGGGATTCACTTTGTCATCATGTGAAAGACTACCCCCAATAATTTTGTGACCAAGGGATTCACTTTGTCATCCTGTGAAAGACTACCCCAATAATTTTGTGACCAAGGAATTCAGTAAGTGAGTAATGAAATCCATGCTTAATTCACCCCACACCATTGTTGGTATATTTAATGGTTGCAATAATCCTTATTTCTTCTTAGGCATGTATTTGTTTTGTTGGCAAACTAAGTACATTTTCACGAACTCCTTGGTATCTTTGTATATTCTAGGCCATAGAAAAGAGGAGGAGATGCGAGCCAATGTTGGTTGAAGACCGGAGTGGCCAACCATCGGAGTTGAATGGTATTCTGTAAGTACAAATTTTCGGAGCTCTTGAACAAAAGTTATGTATATGTACTCTTTTTAGTATAGAAGGCCATCTTTGATTTGATAAATGGTTTGCATGGATGTGTCTGTTTGATCTTTTTGCATAAGAATTTTACCTTATGGAATTGTTTTGTAATACTTCTGTAACAGGGGAACAAGAGAATAGATGGAAAGGAGAAGTGCTTTATCTTTATTCTGGATAGGACTTTAGAGCATCTGCAACTTGGTTAGCTTTACCAGATTTATAATAAATGTCAAAGTGAAAACCTTGTAACTAAGGTTGTAAAAATGAGAGTCTACTCAAACTCGTAAAGGGTCCATAGACTCGACTCAGACTCATTCGTAAATTAGTACTAGTCTATGAAAAATTAAAAATAACTTTTAAATGACACATAAATAAATGACACACATATATTTTTAAACATGTAAATGTCACATATATGACACAAATGAAGGTATGACACAAAATATATATATAGATAGATGTACATTTTGATTGATATATTTACAATAGGGTATAATGGTTGCATATTCATATAACCATGGTTGTCAAAATCGTTCCCACTCATAGGATCGTATGATTTTACGATCGTGATATCTTGGCGATCTTGTGAAGGCAAAAACTTGGATTTCCATCATATAGGATCTCAATTTTGACTATCTTACCTGTAACTTAGAGTAGGTATGAAATATAAGGAATATAACAAGTTGCAGTCTGGATAGTATAGTTCCTTCATCACGCTTATTTCCACCTGCCATTGATAATAATTCCTGAAGGAAAGGCAATACATGAGATATCTGATAAAGAAAAAAATTAGACAACATGCAATTGATCATTAAATCTTGGAGGAATATTTTCATTGCACATCTTTCGTAATGTCCATTTAGTAATCATCAGGACACGTTTGTTAGTAGTTTTCAACATACACATCAGTAGCGTGAGTGTACCATTTTCAACAACAATATCTCTTTTCTCTAAAGAATTAGGCTATATTTCCTAATGTCCATGCAGTCTGCCCAATACTAAACAGTTATATCATGTACAATGAAAAACTAAATTACACATTTAAATTAAATCATACATGTAATTTAGTTTTTTTTACATGATATAACTTTTTAGTATTGAGCAGACTGCATGAGCGTTAGGAAATATAGCTTGTGATTTTTTAGAGAAAAAAGATTTTGTTGTTGAAAATGGTGCACTCACGCTACTGATGTGTATGTTGAAAACTACTAACAAACGTGTCCTGATGTTTACTAAATGGACATTACGAAAGATGTGCAATGAAAATATTCCTCTAAGATTTAATGATCAGGTTTTATTTATTATTAATTACATGTTGTCTTATTTTTTCTTCATTAGTACCTCTTGTATTGTCTTTCCTCTAGGAATTATTATCGGTGGCGGATGAAGATAAGTATGATGAACTCTTGTATTGTTTTTCTTTTGGGAATTATTATCGGTGGCGGATGAAGATAAGTATGATGAAGGAGCTCTACTATCCAGACTCCAATTTGTTATATTCCTTGATCATTCAAGTGAACTATACAAAGTCTTAGCTGAAGAAGATGTGTATTTGCAAATCGTAGAATTTCTTTGGTAAGTACAATAATATAGTTTTTAGTAAAATTATTCTTTGGTTGACTGACTAACATATTGGATTTCATTATTACAGCCATGATCCAAAATATAGTCAGCTTGCTTTAATGGTCATAGGAAATTTGGCACCGTGTGGAAAGGCACAAAAACAAGTAAAATGCTACTAGAGCGCTCATTTTTTTTCACAGATCTTTTATCACATATCACTAAATTTGCAGGGTGTTTTTTATATCATAATCGACACAGGAGCTCTCTTTGGCCTTAAGTGGCTACTTAAGCAAACTGTTCCTTAAAGAAGCATGTTGGATAATTGGGAACCTAGTAGGTGGAACAACATGCCATTTACAGGTAAAATATGATTTGACCTCGAAAATTGTTTTTGTTTGAAAACTCTAAACTCATCGCATGTGGACAATTGGTTACTTGAGCAAAGTATAACTTTGATTGTTTTTTTGAAAACTCTAAACTTGTTCCTTGATATTTAAGCTGTCATTGATGAGGGTTTTATCCCTATTCTGATTGATCTTATGAAGAATAAATTTGACATCAGGTATGAGGCTGCATGGGCAGATTATTCTTTCAGTTGTGGAAGCTTTAAACAAATAAGCTAAGTCTTACCATTAGATTTAATTTTTCCTTCATTCATTTAGCCTGTCTCATTCTATGTGGTGGGTATTGTGGAAAATATTTAATACCATTAATTGTGGATATTTATAGGTACTTGCTGCATATAGAAGTTATTGAATGAGTAAAGGGATTATGTAATCTCCTTAGTTTTACAAGCGGCCCAAAGTTACTTGTGTGCCTAAATGGGTTAAACAATTTCTTAATTCAAGGCGACATGCTAATGAAAAAATCTACTGCCAACGTTTATGCCGAAACAATTAAAAATGATCAGATATTTGATTTAAGGAGGTTGTCGAGTTTGAAGGATCACAACAATGAAGAGATTTCTTATTTGGCCGTTGAAATTTTTGAGAAGTATTGGTCTTCTGAAAGAGGTCAAATGGAAATGTAGTGTCTTGTGCAAATAGTGATTTAAGAACAGAGAAGTTTTATAAAAATAGTATTTTGAACCAAGGCCTTAATCCAATTAACATCTGACATAATTGATATTGATGATGTAATTTTGCTTTTAATGTACTAATATATTGAAAATCCATCCACAAGTTATAACTCTTGTGAAAATAGTGTTTTGAGCCAAGGCATTAATTCAATTAGCATCTAACATAATTGATATTGATGATGTAATTTTGCTTTTAATGTACTAATATATTGATTAAATAAAAGCCAATTTTCATTAGTAGAGCTGAAAAAAAATTGAAGAAAGAAAATTTTATTACTTCAAAAAAACTAAACAAGCACGGCGATCCAAAGGGATCCAGCCACCCAGAAGACTACACACACTAAGGAAACATTAGTTTGCTAAGATAGCCCCTTAGCCTAGACTTAGCCCAACATCTATACACAATACAATTAATGATCTTAGGCCCAATATCCTGGATACTACTAACCCCACCAAAACAGCAAGTATTCCTGTAATTCCAAGTCTCATACACAGTCTCTGCCAATGCACACTTGAAAAGTAGTTCCTCATTCCATTCACTGGGCGAAATGGTGGATTTGGAGCCACTGAAGCACATGCATCCAAATCCCTTTAACACCATTGCCACAAATAAAAGATGTTGCAAAATTTCGTGCTGCCTGCATAAAACACAATTGCCATTATCAACAAACCCAAATCTGATCATTCTATCTTTGGTTGCAAGTCTGCCATGACATGCCAACCACAGTGAATAAAGCTCTCGGCCTTGCTATATTTCCATTCAGAATTTTCCTCCAATTAACCACCGGGTCCTGCACCTTGAGATTATGATACATAATGCTTGTTTGAAACTTTTCCTGCAGTAACATTGCATCCCAAGTCTGGTAGAGCTGGAAAATTACAGTTACAAATAAACAAGGTGAGTTTATGACAGACAGCCTACTACTACAAAACAATTGTAGAAATAATATTCTTAATCAAAAGAACACATCCACACAGCATAAAGTGATTTCATGTTTCTAGTGGCAATATAAATAACTCTTAAATACATCTTTATAGCTTGAGTCATTATCTTTAACCATATCATTCATTTTTCAACATAATCAGCCTAATGTTGCAGAACAGAAAAGACCACATCATCTATGCACTAACCAAAATATTCTGCATTGCTTCCTCAATAAAAAGCCATTTTGATTCCTCACAATGTTTTAACTCTATTACACCCCAATATCATTACATTCCATTTGATTAATTCAACTGCCTTGCTAATAGCAAAAGGCTTGTATGTTGTAGCTACTAATCCATGCCAAGAAAACATGTGTACAAAGGCTTTTTTAACAAACAAAAAGGAAAAAAAATCAGTGTGAGTATCATTTGATGCATTGAGAATTTGAAGAGAAACTTTTTCTCATTTGAAAACACGGAAATGCTTAATTAAGAGCTTCCTTCACATTCAAGATTAATTTGGAGTTATTGTTGGAGGTAGAATTAGAAAGGCAGAAGTTTTTAGTTACATTAGATATGCCTCTAGCAAACTATTGATCAAGGAAAATGCGAGCTATAGTTCTAAACTTGAAGACCATTCTAGCACAACATGAGACAACAATGTGTCAAACATGTTAGATGCATAAATATATTAAAAAATGAGAAAGCTTCTTCCTCTAAAACATGAGACAACCCCAATCAGTGAATTAAGACACTCGGTAAAATATGAATGGTGGTAAAAGAGTGACATCCAAAATAACTATTTTCAATTCTACTAAATCATACCCGTTTTCTTTGACAAACTCTGCACCGGCTATTCTCTGCCACGCAGTGATTGTAATACCCTATTTATAACATTGCTGAAGTAAATAAGGTGTCGAGTAATTCTCATATCACTTTGTGGAAATAAATAAGACAAAAGAATCTTATCAAGTGAATTTAAGGCAAAGCCAGGTAAAGAAATACAATATAAAACTACATAGAGTACCAAATTGCTTGCATTATACAAAATATGAAATCTTTCAGAAATACAAAAGCAGTTATCATGCACAAACTAATGAGGAAATACACATATGTAAACTGAAATAACTTAATTAAAAAAAACAATTCCTCATGGAAGTGTTGCCCAATCCAGAACAGAAGTAAATATGAAAAGAAAGACATGTTACATTTCAGAATTCAAACTTCAGAAAACAATGCATCCTTGACGCAAGCGGAGGAGTTTCCTCTCAGTTTCAGTGAAATGAATATGAGGTAGAGCAGTTATCTTTCTCAATGATGGACTTGAAAATAGCATTGAGGCAGCAACATTGGTGTGCACATTCAAACAGTTATTCAAATTGATCTCTCTGAGTGGCGTGCAGTTCTCTACCACATGTTTGACTCCCTTGTGTGTGCATCGAGAACAATTAATTAATAACAATTGCAAAAGCCCTGAACAATTTTTTGAGATCACATGGAGTGTTGCATCGTCAACTTGTGAAGACGTCAAGTTTAGCATCTTGAGGTGGGGAACTTGAAAGTTCATTTCAAGTAGATTCAGTCCTGAAGTTAAGTTACAGAATGATAAATCCAAATGGCTTATCTTGCAGCATCTCTTTAAAACTTGAACAATAGCTTGTAGCGATATGTTTTTGCAAGGTTTCAAATCAAGTAATTGCAAATTGGGGAAAGCAGAAACAAACATTAAAACAAATAAAATAGAAAAAATATGTAGTTAAAGATTTAAAGTATTAACTTTTTCTTGGATATTATATAATATAAAGCAAATAAACATAAACCAAATATGTTAATATATTCAAATATCCAAAGATCCGTGAAATCATCACCACCAATATCATCACCTTCATTGGTATTTTGAGGCGCTTTAAATCTCTAGAGCAATTGCAATATACTACAACCACTCCCTCGACCATAATTTAAAAGTGTCTTTGTTCAAACTATTTTAGTCTTATGTCAAAATATATTCTAAATTGAGGGTTTTTTTGTCTTTATCAGCAAGATTGTTAACTCACCTTAGCTTTCCTTACAACACTTATACGCAAGTTCCTTATAATTATTATTAATAATTAATTAATTAGTAGAACTTGTAAGTTTTCATGTGTGCAATGAATTGTTTCAAAATTGACTAAAATGTTTTCTGTCATAAATCATAAATCATCTAAACTATTTTGTCACGTGCAAACTGTTCCATGGAGATTGGGATCAACAGACCTGATTGAACAATGATACATCATTTTACACAAGAGAACATACAAGGAAGCATCCAAGTGAAACATACAAGAAAAATACTTACTCAATAAAGTATAGATGTATGACAACAAACAAAATTAAATCAAGAGAAAGAACAAATGACAAATGAGACCATGTCGTCGATGAAGGGAGGAACAAACTTTGTTAAAACAACAGACTAGGGGAAAGACTTTCTAATTCCCGTACAAGCAATTTTTTTTTTTTTTTATAAATAAAATAAAATATTTTGGGGAATTTGGGCCTTTTTTGAGTTAAAAAAAAATAGTAAAACTTATAGACTCGCAAACTCACCATAGACTCATGAGTCTATACGAGTTTGTGCGAGTCTACCCGAGTCTACTCGAGTCTAGTAAAATATGATTTTATGCACGAGTCTACTCGTTTTTTCTTCCTAGACTCGTAAACTCGTACGAGTTTATGAGTCTACTCGCGAGTTTGACAACCATGCTCGTAACTTAGCGACCAATTTTCGATGTTCTGGAGTTTGGATATTTTGTACCAAGATATTCTTTAAACTTTTATGATCTGTATAAATTTGAAAATGTCTACCAATTAAGTATTGTCTCCTTTTTTTACAGCTCTAGTAATAGTGTACAATTCATGAACATAAACAGAAGAAGCCTAAAGACGGTTGCACAACTTCTCGCTAAAGAAAGCTATCATATACCCCTCTTAAGATAAGATTTCTCCAATAACAACTGTTGAAGCATCCGTTTAGAGCACAAAGGTCTTGGAGAAATCTGAAAGACCCAAGACAGGAGTTTTCAGTATTTTTTTTAATGTTGTAAATGTTGTTTCAGTTGTTGTACTCTAGTGTAACTTAGTGGAACATGATAAATCAGCGAGGAGAGCAGCGAGAGAGGCGTAATGACGAACAAATCTTCTATAAAATACAGTGAGGCCTAAAAAATCTTGAGTGTCGTGAGTGAACGAGGCCTTGGCCAGTCTAGTATAGCTTGAATCTTTGTAAAATATGGGGTTACACCTTCACTTGAAATAATATGACCTAGGTAATAAACTCTAGGCACATCAAAAACACATTTTGATAGTGTTAATTCTCTGATTTTATGATTGATATTATGTTTGATAAAACTAATATAGTAGCAATATGTTAAATAAGATATGTTAACTTGTTGGGAAGAGCAAGCGGAGCAAGAAGTTCTATTTTATGTTAAGACATGTTGAAATGAGAAGTTCTTATCATCTCGAGTAACATGTTGGATAAGATATCCTATGCATAGTGATACGGTATCGTGCCCGAGCTAAACGAAACAGTTGGATTCTGTTATGATCTAACAATTATAGAATATTATGGGAATATTATGAAGCCCTATATGGCACTGATTTAAAGGTCTAGAATAATCAAGAAGAATATTGACGAATATTGAATTTCTAAATAAGGAGACTTTTTAGGAAAGATTTGATTGAAGACCTATTTTATTGCAGAATCTTCTGCAAATTTATAACAACTGATATGTTGGGAGTTAAAGCCCAAATCCAGTTGGGAGATAGGTTTTAAGTAGAAGCATTGTAACCTAGGTAAAGACACCAATCATGAAAGTAAAGATGTAGTCATTAGGGACGAGTCTGTACCACTCTCTAGGAGAGTTGGTTGTGTGATCCACTCGGGTTATGAGTTGAATTGTTGTTCCTTGAGTTGTAAGGTTATGTTCCCACTCAGAAGCCTTTAGGTAATGAGTTAAGTATTGTTCTTGGAGGAAGATTTTAAGCAAATCCAAGTTATGTTCTTAGTCAAAAGTCTTGGCTAGGTATTATCATGGAAGTGTGTCTTCTCGCCATAGAAGTGTGTCTTCTATTTTTGTCATAGAAATGTGTCTTCCTGTGTTGTCCAATCGCTATTTGTGATTGAAGGGGATTTGAGGAGGACCTCATACCTAGGTGAGTCTTAGGTAGAAGTATAACACGGGTAGTGATTAAGTGAGAAGTTATAAACGGGAAAGTTTAGCTTCAAATAAATACTATCATAGTGGACTTGATTCTAGGTTGGTATGCCCCCGGAGTAGGAGAGTTATTCCGAATTGGGTTAATAATTCTTGTAGTACTATTTTTATATGCTTATACCTTGCATGTGTTTTTCAAGTCAGATCAGATGTCTCAACATGTCATAGGACATCTGAAGTCTGATATACCAGAATTTCAATTAGTATCAGAGCAGACATCATGTCCTGTTCTGGGTGAGATCTTGGGAAGATACTTTCCAGTTCATGGGCAAGTAATAAGGTATTTGATGAAAAGTTGTTTGAACTTGGATAGTTCATATTGTTTGTTTGAATGGTACCTTAAAGTGGAGGATGAACTATTCTTGATAGGGTGTGTATTAGACATGTCTGTGTTGTTATCAGGCCTGTAGCTTTGGAGGTGAGATGCTTTGGGGTTTGATTTATTTTCAAACCTTTGTTGTCCTGTTGCACCTGGAGTGTGGTGTGTTTGTGCAAGGGTTATTAAGTTTTTCCCGAAGGTTTTTGAGGAGTTTTCTGGTTTGTTTTTCCGCTGCTTATGTATATGATGAAAAACTCCTATTCGTGTTGTGAGTGTCTGGTGTTGAGGCTGTATCCATTTGTTCCTCTCTGAATATGTATCCCATGGTGTGGTGATACTTGGAGGATAGTTTCAACCATCTTACTAAAGTTGCCAAAGATACTTGAGGTTTTATCTCAAGTCCACTCATAAAGGCACTTTTTGATGAGTTTGTTAAAAAAAAGATATGAAGAAAGTGTAGAGGATCTCTTGGTGTGTCCCTTGGAAATATGTTCTACCAGATGTTGGAACCTCTCATCAACATTTTGAGCAAAATCCCGTGGGACAAAGGATTCACTCAGTAGATGCTTTGGATGCTAAGAAAATGTGTATTGATCACATATATTTGGAACCTACTCCTGATCTGGAAAAGGAGGCATCTGGGGTGTTATATTGACACTCATTGGATTAGTTTATTTCTGATCTAAGTGATTTGGAGTGTTAAGGTTGTGCTTTGTTTTTCTATGAAGGCGTGTTAAAGATATCCTTCTCAGAGTCTTTATGAAGGGAGTAATTGGTGTGTACCAACCACAGGACGTGCAACTATTAAAGGGGAGAATGTATAATTCCCTTAGGAGTTCTCAGCAGTTAATAAGAGGGATCTTTAATCTGAATCTAGAAGAACTTGAAGATATATCAGACGTAATGTCTTGACATCTGTGTGTTGAAAATCTATTTTTCTCAACATGTCTGATGGTGTTTTTCTCTTAAACAAGATAGAGGTTGTTTACTTAAACTTGATATCTCTTATCAAGTCTATGAGAGCATGAAACTCTTGTTTTGTTGTAGTAGAAAAGTCATCCAAGGGTTGTATGCATTAAAGATGTATCAAATGAAGTTTTGTGGTTTATTGGTACCTGCATTGTTGAAGTGTCATTTGAATCACCTAGGATGAGCATTTCATATTTCTGTCTGGAGTAAGGAGGAGGAGGTTGTTTTGGATCCAAAGGATAATGGTTCTTATTGTTTGGGAAGTTTCTCCTCAAGTATGGATTCAGTTATGTGGTGTCCTCACATAATGGAGCATTTGTTTCTGCAAGGATTGAAGGGGATCCTTGTGTCTTGAAGAGGCCGACTTATTTTGAACAGTATGTGTGAGGTATGATGCCATGTTTATTGAAGTCTGCTTCAGATACCTGTTAGAGGGAATATCCTCTTTAGGTACAGAAGAATAGCGTCTAACACCTCAAAGTCAGACATGAGGTTTGGACATTATGCTCATGAGAAGAAATTTTCTTGAGGTGTGCATGCTCTGCATGTATTTTGATATGATCTTGAAGGTTGATCAACTACTAATGGTTGATCCTCTTGTGTCCCTTGTAAGAGTTTTATATAGATTGTTATGGATGTTGTCTCCAGAGCCACAGTAAATGCTTAAACCCATGTCATTTATATTGATGTCAGAACTGATGTTGGAACATCATTTATGTTCTTTGCTTCTTCAACCAATGACATTTTCAGGTTTGTTCATGGTGGAGTATAAGGTCAAGCCACTGGCCTAATTTAAAGTAGTTTGTGGTGTGAATGGTTGTCATGACTGGTTGTCATGAAGAAGACTCAACTGGTTCTAGTGGTGTACAGAAGAAGAATATCAGACCAAATATCCTACCTTGTGTGAGAAGGTAACCTTATCTGACTATTGCAAATACTCATAAGGGAGCTGAATATTTGTCTGTCCTCTGTTGAGGTTGTGCATGTGAGTAATGGTGAATACTTTGACAAGAGCTAAGTATTTGTATGATGTGTTGGTGCAAGTCTGCAGTCTGAACCTTATAATTCAGAAGGAGTATGGAGAATTTATTTTTCTCTATGTGGCTGTGTTGAGTAGCTTAGGATAGGAAGCTGCTAACTACTGAGAGTTTATTTCTCTGTGTGATGCTTTGGTGTGACAACCTG